TCCGTGATTGGACAATACTTAAGGTCCCACCCCGCCGAGGCCCTGAGTGACAGGTGGGATCAGATGCTGGGCTGAGTGAAGAGGGACGGCCTCAGCCGCAGCCTTTCCTTTCTTTCTTTTTTTTTTTTTTGAGACGGAGTTTCGCTCTTGTTACCCAGGCTAGAGTGCAATGGCGCGATCTCGGCTCACCGCAACCTCCGCCTCCTGGGTTCAGGCAATTCTCCTGCCTCAGCCTCCTGAGTAGCTGGGATTACGGGCACGCGCCACCATGCCCAGCTAATTTTTTGTATTTTTAGTAGAGACGGGGTTTCACCATGTTGACCAGGTTGGTCTCGATCTCTTGACCTCGTGATCCACCCGCCTCGGCCTCCCAAAGTGCTGGGATTACAGGCTTGAGCCACCGCGCCCGGCCTGGTATAGCTTTTTAATGATGTATGTGGTGAAATGGGTTCTATTGTCTGAGTTAATATTTTGTATTAACCCAAACCTGGGCACTATATTTTTAATTAATGTCTCGACTACATTACTGGCTGTTGTATTTGAAAAGGAAAAGCTTTGACCCATTGAGTGAGGTGATCTACTATTACTAGTTAAGCATTTTAGACGACTTATTGGAGACATCTTTGTGTAAACAATTTGGATACTTGGGAATGGCCTTAAGTCTGGATTTCTTCTCCCAAGGGATAATTTCTTTACAGTTTATTTGTTTTCTTGCATATTAAGTAACTGTCTATAACCTGTTTGGTTTAGGTAGAAATTCCTGTAAATCCATAAACTCTTGAGGACTGCAATACACATCACCTGGGGTCCCCAATGAGTCCCTTGATGCAGGTGGGACGGGACTTCCCTCATGAGGGGTTTGGATAGGATTTCTCTTTGATCTGGTAACACTCATTTTGTTTCTTAGTTTTCTTTGGCTCCTATTATTAATTTCTCTTTCTCTACAGTAGAGAAAATAGGGATTGTAACAGGGGGAAGAAGACAAGGAATGAAGTAAAAAATAGGCATTTTAGATGAAGTGGCAGCCTGTGTGACTTATCTCATCTGTTAGGTTATTTCCCCAACTCTCAAAAGAAAAGCCTTTTTGGTGCCTAGGGACATGGACAATAGCTATTTATTCTGCCAGCTGAAAATTATTTAATATTTGGGTGATTAACGGCTTGTGAATAAGGTCTTGACCTTTGCTACTATTAATGTCTGGTTGGGTGCAGTGGCTCACTCCTGTAATTCCAGCACTTTGGGAGGCTGAGAAGGGTGGATCACCTGCGGTCAGGAGTTTGAGACCAGCCTGAACAACATGGTGAAACCCTGTCTCTACTGGGGAAGAAAAAAAAAAATTAGCCAGGTGTGGTGCTCGCCTGTAATCCCAGCTACCTGGGAGGCTGAGGCAGGAGAATCACTTGAACCTGGAGGAGGAGGTTGCAGTGAGCCAAGTATACATGGTTTCCTCCTGGTTCTGTGAGTACTTTAAGGCTTGGCTGAGTTAAAAGTTTACATTTTTAAAAAAAATTATGAGAGTCACCACAAAAATATCAAATAAATTAATCAAAGAGTGATTCAAGAATTGCAGAGCACCCAGCTATAGTTTGTAGTGGTTGTCCATAGGAGGGACTCAAAGAAAAGACATTTATAAGGTGCATGATGAAGAAAACCAAATTCCATAATGGGCTAGGTATAGTCACATAGATTTTCTTTTTTCTTTTTCTTTTTTTTTTTTTTTGAGACGCAGTTTCGCTCGTTACCCAGGCTGGGATGCAATGGCGTGATCTCGGCTCACTGCAACCTCCGCCTCCTGGATTCAGGCAATTCTCCTGACTCAGCCTCCTGAGTAGCTGGGATTACAGGCACATGCAACCATGCCCAGCTAATGTTTTTGTATTTTTTAGTAGAGACGGGGTTTCACCATGTTGACCAGGATGATCTCGATCTCTTGACCTCGTGATCCACCCGCCTCGGCCTCCCGAAGTGCTGGGATTACAGGCTTGAGCCAACGAGCCCGGCATAGTTTCTTAATTAGTACAATCAAGGTAGAAATGTCCTGGTTATGTAATCAGAGCTTAACTGGCAGTTTATGGTTGTTTAAGCCTCAATTTTGTTTCCTCTAATGTAGTTATTTACCAAAACATGCATCCGAGTTTACTTTTTTTTTATTTTTAGAAGTAGGAATCTGGGGCCTAGAGCTTCCTCAGTCTAATTTACTGCCATTTAATTATTTCCGCACCCCAAAGGGGACTGATTTTCCTTGGCATTTTTCACGTGTCCCAAGCCTGGCCTCAAGTGTTCCTCAATTAATCATTTTATAAAAAGGATGGCATAACACTATTGAAAAATGTTTTCTGTTTGTAAATATTTTCCATGAGAAGCAAAGAAGAATTCCCTCACACCTTATTATAAAAAATATCGCCGGGCGCGGTGGCTCAAGCCTGTAATCCCAGCACTTTGGGAGGCCGAGGCGGGTGGATCACAAGGTCAAGGGATCGAGACCATCCTGGTCAACATGGTGAAACCCCGTCTCTACTAAAAATACAAAAAATTAGCTGGGCATGGTGGCGTGTGCCTGTAATCCCAGCTACTCAGGAGGCTGAGGCAGGAGAACTGCCTGAACCCAGGAGGCAGAGGTTGCAGTGAGCCGAGATCGCGCCATTGCACTCCAGCCTGGGTAACAAGAGCGAAAACTCCATCTCAAAAATAAATAAATAAATAAATAAAAATAAAAATATATATATCTGTGCCTCTTTTCCTTTTTCCAGAGAACTCACCAGAATGTTGTGGGCTCACTGCAACCTCACTTCCGGGTTCCGGCGATTCTCTAGTACAAAATGTGTGCACCAAGATTTGTAATACAAGTAAAGGCACTACAACCCCCTTTACGTTTGCAATGGTTCCGAACAACACTTCTTCCGGCGGGTGCTTTGGGCTGGGCAACCAGTGCCAGCCTTCCCATTTCCTTTTAAAAAAAAATAATAATAATAATAATCTGCTTAACATTAAAGGCTTATATTTTCAGAAAGATTTTGACAATAACTGCACTTTCAATGGTTTTATCAACTATGAACCTTCTTATGTTAAGATGTGAGTAGGCTTGGGCCGGGCGCGGTGGCTCACGCCTGTAATCCCAGCACTTTGGGAGGCCGAGGTGGGTGGATCACGAGGTCGAGAGATCGAGACCATCCTGGTCAAAATGGTGAAACCCCGTCTCTACTAAAAATACAAAAAAATAGCTGGGCATGGTGGCACGTGCCTGTAATCCCAGCTACTCAGGAGGCTGAGGCAGGAGGATTGCCTGAACCCAGGAGGCGGAGGTTGCGGTGAGCCGAGATCACGCCATTGCACTCCAGCCTGGGTAACAAGAGCAAAACTCCATCTCAAAAAAAAAAAAAAAAAAAAAAAAAAAAAAAGAGATCGAGACCATCCTGGTCAACCTGGTGAAACCCCGTCTCTACTAAAAATACAAAACATTAGCTGGGCATGGTGGCATGTGCCTGTAATCCCAGCTACTCAGGAGGCTGAGGCAGGAGAATTGCCTGAACCCAGGGGGCAGAGGTTGCGGTGAGCCGAGATCGCGCCATTGCACTCCAGCCTGGGTAACAAGAGCGAAACTCCGTCTCAAAAAAAAAAAAAAGTTTTGCTGCATTCTTGACACTTGTAGTTTTGCCAGTATGAATTATCTTACCTACAATCAAGTGTGGTAACTATAAAGGCTTTGTCACGTTTTATACATTTCTAGAATTTCCCACAATTTTCTTTTCTTGAGATGGGAGTCTCCCTCTGTCACCAGGCTGGAGTGCATGAATTGGCTCACTGCACCCCCGATTTCCTAGTGCAAGCGATTCTCCTGCCTCAGCCTCCCCAGTAGCTGAGATTACAGGCATGCACCACCATGTCCAGCTACTTATGCATTTTTGGGAGACAAGGGGTTTCACCATGTTGATCAGGCTGGTCTCGATCTCCTGACCTTGTGATCCACCCGCCTCAGCCTCCCAAAGTGCTGTGATTACAAGCATGAGCCACTGCACCAAGCCTATAATTTTTTGAATGTATGGAAAAGTTGGAGGTGTTGATAAAAGCACTGTCACATCTTTAAGGTTTGCAGAGTTCCTCTTCAGCATGAATTATCACCACTGTGACATTGGTCATGTCGGAGTCAACACACTGCGGGGGTCTGTCCTGCAGACCCTGACTCAGCAACAGATAAATACACTCACAGAATAGTGTATGAGTTGAGCGGAGGGATTGTGAGCTGCTCACACAGAGAAAATGAGCAATCGCATCTAAACAACCACCACCAGTTGTTCCTTCTCACATTTATTCAGTATAGATTTACTAACAGAGATTCCAAGTCAACACGCTTGCAAATAATTAACATTGTTACAAGAAAGGTTTTATGAATAATTAAAGCAGTTACCAAAGCCCAGAGTAAACACCATTAACCGGTAATCTCCCTGGTCAACCTCCCCTCTCCCAGAAGGCCACCCAGAGTGATCACAGGTTACTGAGTAAACAAACTATTCAGATGAACTCCCTTACATTCCCTAGCTAGTCAAGGGGGTTTTCGCTGCCTCCAGCCAAAACTTGTACTGAAACTATGCAAACATCTCACTGTAACTATTTCTAGTATTTTCCCTTACTATCTCTGCCACCATGCTGAGTGAATCCCAACCAGTCTCTTAAGAATTGAAAACTTGTGGCCAAGTGTGGTGGCTCATGCCTGTAATCCCAGCACTTTAGGAGGCTGAGGTGCTGGATCATCTGAGGTCAGGAGTTCGAGACCAGCCTGGAAATATAGCAAAACATCATCTCTACCATAAGTACACAAATTAGCTGGGCATGGTTGTGGGAACCTATAATCCCAGCTACTGGAGAGGCTGAGGCAGGAGAATGGCTTGAACCAAGGAGGCAGAGGTTGCAATGAACCAAGATTGTGCCATTGCACTCCAGCCTCTGTGACAAGAGTAAAACTCCATTTCAAAAAAAAAAAAAAAAAAAGATAAGAACTGACAACTTGTTTGCCACATTCTTCACACTTGTAGGGTTTCTGTCCAGTATGAATTATATGTAATACATGTTGAGAACTTACTTAAAAAGCTTTGTCCCATTCTTTATATTTGTAAGGTTTATGTTTCATGTAAATTCTCATATTTAGTAAGAGTTGAGGGTTGGTTAAAGGCTATTCCGCATTCATCACATTTATCGGGTTTCTCTCCAGTATGAATTATCTTATGATTATTAAGGGTTGAGGAACATTTAAAAGATTTTCCACATTCTTCACTATGTAGGGTTTCTCTCCAATATGAATTCTCTTATGTGTAGTAAGTTGAGAGGAGCGCTTAAAGGCTTTGCCACATTCTTCACATTTGTAGGGTTTCTCTCCAGTGTGAATTATCTTATGTGTAGTAAGGTGTGATAAGTTCTTAAAGGCTTTGCCACATTCTTCACATTTATAAGGTTTCTCACCAGTATGAATTTTCTTATGTGTAGTAAGGTTTGAGGACTGCTTAAAGGCTTTGCCACATTCTTCACATTTGTAGGGGTTCTCTCCGGTATGAATTCTCTTATGTATAGTAAGGTTTGAGGACTGCCTAAAGGCTGTGCCACATTCTTCACATTTGTAGGGTTTCTCTCCAGTATGAATTATCTTATGGGTACTAAGGCTAGAGGAGTGCTTAAAGGTTTTGCCACATTCTTTACATTTGTAGGGTTTCTCTCCAGAATGAATTATCTTATGTGTATTAAGGCTAGAGGAGTGCTTAAAGGCCTTGCCACATTCTTCACATTTGTAAGGCTTCTCTCCAGTATGAATTATCTTATGTGTATTAAGGTTTGAGGATCGGTAGAAAGCTTTGCCACATTCTTCACATTTGTAGGGTTTCTCTCCAGTATGAATGATCTTATGTATATTAAGATGTGAGGACCAGCTGAAGGCTTTGCCACATTCTTCACATTTGTAGGGTTTCTCTCCAGTATAAACTTTCTTATGTGTAGTCAGGGTTAAGGACTGGTTAATACCCTTGCCACATTCTACATATTTGAAATTTTTTTCCCCAGTATGTCTTACCTTATGTCTGTTTGAATTTGAAAATTCAGGAAAGACTTTCACATATTGATCACATTGAAATATTTTACTCTGGGTAGTTGTCAAACTTTGGTTAAGTCCATTATAAACTCTGTTGTGCACCTGAGACTCATCCACACTTTCACAGCCATTTTTTATCTGTAAATTGTCATGTCTATATTTATCATATCTTCTCAGTATCACTTTTTGGAAAGAATCTTTTGTGCTCTGCTCTGGCCAAAGGTCTTTGGCAAAATGAGAACACATAACTGAAAGAAACAAAACACATCATTTCAATTGCTAGACTCAGCAGGTAAATACACTTTACAAATGTATAAAATTATACAAACTGCTTAAGATGATATAGCAAAATACCACAAGCTGAAATTTTTTCCTGGACATATGAATGTAACAAAAAAATACTGACCAAAATACATTTGTAAAAAATTTATAAATGTGATAAGTGTGTGAAGGGCCCCAGGTGAGCACAAAGAGCCACATAGAAGAAAAAGAAAAGTTTGTTCCTTATACCCGACACAGCTCTTCTTCCTCTCCAACAGAACATTGTGCCTTTAAAAGTAAATTGTAGCCAGGTGTGGGGGCTCATTACTGCAATCCCAGCACTTTGGGAGTCTGATGTGCGTGGTTCCTGAGATCAGGAGTTGAAGACCAACCTGGCCAAGATGGTGAAACTTCGTCTCTACTAAAAATACAAAAGGGTGCTCACAACCATACTGAGGTGTGGTTGTGAGCACCTGTGATCCCAGCTACTCCAGAGGCTGAGGCAGAGAATTGCTTGAGCCTAGGAGGCACAGGTTGCAGTGAGCGGAGATTGCGTCACTGCACTCCAGCCTGGGGGACAGAGTGAGACTTTGTCTCAAAAAATAAAAAAGTAAATTGCCAGCCACACATGATGGCTCATGCCTGTAATCCCAGCACACTGGATGAACAACATGAGAGGATTACCTGAGGTCTGGAGTTTAAGACAAGCCTGACTGACATGGTGAAACCCTATCTCTACAAAAAATACAAAACATTAGCAGATATGGTAACAAGTACCTGTAATCCTACCTAGTTGGGAGAATTGCTTGACCTGTGGAGGCAGAGACTGTAGTGAGCCTCGATAATGCCACTGCACTCCAGCCTAGGTAACAGAGTGAGACTCTCTCTCTCTCTCTCTCTCTCTCTCTCTCTCTCATACACACACACACACACACACACACACACACACACACACACACGTTAATTGCCAACTACTGATTTCTTTGAAAAAAAAAAAAATACTGGCACATACATTTTTGTTTCTGGTTTTTAGGGACTTTTTAGAGACACTCAATGTCTCCCATGACATGAAGAGAATGATAAAATTTTCAAAAGCAATCATAAAAAGTATATAAAGCAATTAAAAATTTTGCAAATAGGGCCAGGCGCGGTGGCTCAAGCCTATAATCCCAGCACTTTGGGAGGCCGAAGCGGGTGGATCACGAGGTCAAGAGATCGAGACCATCCTGGTCAACATGGTGAAACCCCGTCTCTACTAAAAATACTAAAAATTAGCTGGGCATGGTGGTGCGTGCCTGTAATCCCAGCTACTCAGGAGGCTGAGGCAGGAGAATTGCCTGAACCCAGGAGGTGGAGGTTGCAGTGAGCCGAGATCGCGCCATTGCACTCCAGCCTGGGCAACAAGAGCGAAACTCCGTCTCAAAAAAAAAAAAAAAAAAAAAAATTTGCAAATAAATGAAACAGGCCAGGCTTGGTGGCTCATTCCTGTAATCCCAACACACTGGGAGGCCAAGGTGGAAAAATCACATGCGGTCAGGAGTTTGATACCAGCCTGGCCAACATGGTGAAACCCTGTATCTACTAATAATATAAAAATTAGCAGGGTGTGGTGGCATGTGGCTGTAATCCCAGCTATTTGGGAGGCTGAAACACCTGAATTGCTTGAACCTGGGACGGGAAGGCTGTAGTGAGTGGAGATTGTACCACTGCACTTCAGCCTGGGCACCAGAACAAGACTGTCTCAAAAATAAAATAGGCTAGGAACTGTGGCTCATGCTTGTAATCTCAGCACGTTGGGAGACCAAGGTGGGTGGATCATTGCAGGTCAGCAGTTCAAGATCAGCTGGCCAACAATGAAATCCCATCTCTACCAAAAAGCACAAAACTAGTAGCCAGCGGTAGTGACAGGCACCTGTAATTCCAGCTACTCAAGAGGCTGAGGGAGGAGAATCACTTAAACCAGGAGACACAGGTTGCAGTGAGCCGAGATTGCACCACTGCACTCTAGCCAGGGCGACAGAAAAAGTCTTCATCTCAGATACAAAAATAAATAAATAAATAAATAATGGATATAAAAAATACAAAAAAATAACAGAAAATATTCTTAAAAGAAAAAAGGTGCCAGGCATGGTGGCTCACACCTGTAATCCCAGCATTTTAGGAAGCCGAGGCCGGGGGATCACAAAGTCAACGGATCAAGACCATCCTGGGCAACATGGTGAAACCCTATCTCTACTAAAAATACAAAAATTATCTGGGAATGGTGGTGGACGCCTGTAGTCCCAGCTACCCAGGAGGCTGAGGCTAGAGAATCACTTAACTCAGGAGGTGAAGGTTGCAGTGAGCTGAGATCATACCACTGCACTCCACCCTGAGTGACAAAGTGAGACACCATTTGAAAAAACATATATATTACTAATTTGTAGAGAAATTAAAAAAAAAACAAAACCACAATCACAAACAAAATCAACTCACATCCATTAGAATGGCCACTACAAATCTTTTTTTTTTTAGACGGAGTTTTACTCTTGTTACCCAGGCTAGAGTGCAATGGCGCGATCTCGGCTCACCGCAACCTCCACCTCTAGGGTTCAGGCAATTCTCCTGCCTCAGCCTCCTAGCTGGGATTATAGGCACGCGCCACCATGTCCAGCTAATTTTTTGTATTTTTAGTAGAGACGGGGTTTCACCATGTTGACCAGGATGGTCTCGATCTCTTGACCTCGTGATCCACCCGCCTCGGCCTCTCAAAGTGCTGGGATTACAGGCTTGAGCCACCGCGCCCGGCCTTACAAATTTTGTTTTGTTTTGTTTTGTTTTGTTTTGTTTGAGACAGAGTTTCGCTCGTTACCCAGGCTGGAGTGCAATGGCGCGATCTCGGCTCACCGCAACCTCCGCCTCCTGGGTTCAGGCAATTCTCCTGCCTCAGCCTCCTGAGTAGGTGGGATTACAGGCACACACCACCATGCCCAGCTAATTTTTTGTATTTTTAGTAGAGACGGGGTTTCACCATGTTGACCAGGATGGTCTCGATCTGTTGACCTCATGATCCAGCGGCCTCGGCCTTCCAAAGTGCTGGGATTACAGGTTTGAGCCACCGTGCCTGGCCTTTCTTTTCTTTTTGAAACAGGGTCTCACTGTGTCACCTAAGCTGGAGTGTAGTGGCACAATTTTGACTCCCCGACTAATTTCCCAAGTAGCTGGGACCACAGCTGCACACCATCATGCCTTGTTATTACTACAAATTTTTATAGAAAGGGGTCTCCATGTGTTGCCCAGGGTGGTCTTAAACATTTGGGCTCCAGGAATCCTCCTGTCTTGGCCCAAAAAAATCCTGGTATTACAGACAAAAGCCACAATCACACCTCATCCTGAAATGTACACTTCAATAGATTTAAAGTGGTACCTTTTATGTTATATGTATATAAACAATGTTTTTAAAGAAAAACTAAAAAAATCCAGAACTATACATCTTTTTGAAAATTACCTTCAAATCACAAAAGTGTTTCTCTCACTAAAAAAAATATATATATATAACATAATTATACACATGGTGAAAATAAGACTATCTCCATAACTGCTCACTTAGACAAGATAAAATTACCATCAAAAATCAGCTAAGAAAGAATATAAGTTAAGCCATGTCCAAAATTGGGGTAATATTTATACATAAACACACATACAAATGTAATCTGATTATGATAGACATGCAGAATTTATCTCTTAATTAAACCTCAAATTGACTTAAAGTTACAAAAAGAATTGCAAATTGTCTAAAAATAGAATTCTTTTTTTTTTTTTTTTTGAGACGGAGTTTCGCTCTTGTTACCCAGGCTGGAGCGCAATGGCGCGATCTTGGCTCACCGCAACCTCCGCCTCCTGGGTTCAGGCAATTCTCCTGCCTCAGCCTCCTGAGTAGCTAGGATTACAGGCACACGCCACCATGCCCAGCTAATTTTTTGTATTTTTAGTAGAGACGGGGTTTCACCATGTTGACCAGGATGGTCTCGATCTCTTGACCTCGTGATCCGCCCGCCTCGGCCTCCCAAAGTGCTGGGATTACAGGCTTCAGCCACCGCGCCCGGCCCTAAAAATAGAATTCTTAAGTAAAACCAATAGACACAATAAACTGAGGCTAGGAATCCTACACTGAGGCCAGGTGCGGAGGCTCACACCTGTAATCCCAACACTTTGGGAGGCTGAAGTGGGCAAATTACCTGAGGTCAGGAATTCAAGACAAGTCTGGCCAACATGGTAAAACCCCACCTGCACTAAAAATACAAAAATTAGCCAGGCATGGTGGCTCATGCCTGTAATCCCAGCTACTTGGGAAATAAGGCATGAGAACTGCTTGAACCCAGGAGGTGGAGGTTGCAGTAAGCCAATATGGCACCACTGTACTCCAGCCTGGGTGAAAGAGGGTGACTCCATCTCAATAAAACAAAAACAAAAATTTGTATAGGTAACTGCAATATTTAACGGTTACTGTGTACTCATCGAATACAGATGTTTTGAATCATTGGCATGCATTGTATAGCAGTAAAATTTTAGAGAATATGCAGTATAATTATAAATACAGGAGTCTAATGAGAAACTCTTAATAAATATTAAGTATTTAAATAAACTAATTACTTTTTATGTTTTACATATATGCTACTCTCACACAAAATGAAACATCTGTAATCCAACTTAAAAAGCTAAGAATAGGCTGGGCGCGGTCGCTCAAGCCTGTAATCCCAGCACTTTGGGAGGCCGAGGTGGGTGGATCACGAGGTCGAGAGATCGAGACCATCCCGGTCAACATGGTGAAACCCCGTCTCTACTAAAAATACAAAAAATTAGCTGGGCATGGTGGCGCGTGCCTGTAATCCCAGCTACTCAGGAGGCTGAGGCAGGAGAATTGCCTGAACCCAGGAGGCGGAGGTTGCGGTGAGCCGAGATCGCGCCATTGCACTCCAGCCTGGGCAACAAGAGTGAAACTCCGTCTCAAAAAAAAAAGCTAAGAATAGTCTTACATTGTTAAATACAAAAAATGTATGTAAATATTTTGCAGAATAGAGTTAGACCCTCAGATATGTAAAAAAAAAAAAATGTACTAGGAAATAAACTATGTTATTATTTAGATACAGGCTGAAGAAAGTAGATGAAAACCCTGTATTTCTTTTTGCCCGCAGCAAACTTAAAAATATAAGTAACTATTTTAGTAAATATGAAGTGTCTAATTATCTCATTTACTTCAGGCATACCATGCAAATTCTAGCATGTTGTCCTAAATATCTAAATCTAAAATTAAAGACAAATTTGAAATAGGACATAGAAAGTTAAGATGTATAAGAAGAGTTATATCACTAAGATGAAAACATTAAAAGTGCCCTATTTTCATCTCCAGTTACAGCAAAAAAATAAAAAGTCAGCCATCCTTGACAAAAATGCCTTTATGACAGAACCAGACATTATGGCTCAAAACTGTAGTAACAGCTACATGATACATTAAGGTTGGAGAAATGCTTCAGGTCAGGATTTCAGCCCACTCTGGGTTATGCAACAAGACGCCATCTCCAAAGTAAGTGCCTCTAAGAGAGATCTGATATCCAGGGAGGGAGTTGTGAAATGCTGTTAAAGCTTAAGATTGAGAAGTGTTCTATTCAGAAGGCAGGCCCTCATTCAGGGGGGAAACTATAGCACCCTTATTCTTGGCTACAGACCAGGATAGGGTTCACTCAACTTGGTCCCAATGAGAATCTGAACTTACTCTGTAACCATCCCCATCTCCTCCCAGCCACAGCGTGGGACAGGTCCTGCCATTCCAGAGACCCAGAGGAAGGCACCGATTCACAGTCATGAGGGCAGGCCTGCAGACCTTGGCCACTACTGTAGTCCCTGAAGTGGTTAAATGACTCAGTCTCAGTTACCTGAGTCACAGTCTAGCATCACTTCTGCCTATATAGAAACCCACACAGTTACCTGAAGAAATGCTTTCTGGTATCTAATGAAAACCATACTCATCCACATCCTGATACAAGGTCCAGCATATGCTGAGCAGACTGCCAAAACGTGCCCCAGTGTCTGCCCAACAGAGCCAAGTCCTGAAGGATATGCAGTCTGTCCAGAAATTAAATGGGAATTACAACTACCCAAGCCCCTGTAACAAGCTAACTAAAGGTGGACCTGCCAGGCGCGGTGGCTCACACCTGTAATCCCAGCACTTTGGGAGGCCGAGGCGGGTGGATCACGAGGTCACGAGATCAAGACCATCCTGGTCAACATGGTGAAACCCCATCTCTACTAAAAATACAAAAAATTAGCTGGGCATGGTGGCGCATGCCTATAATCCCAGCTACTCAGGAGGCTGAGGCAGGAGAATTGCCTGAGCCCAGGAGGCGGAGGTTGCGGTGAGCCGAGATCACGCCATTGCACTCCAGCCTGGGTAACAAGAGCGAAACTCCGTCTTAAAAAAAAAAAAAAAGAACAAAAAAATGCTACAGAAACTACTACTCTCACACATTTCAGTCCTGATGCAAAATAAGGACTTAAAAATATAGTTTTAGTGCCAGGGTGGCGGCTCACGCCTGTAATCCCAGCACTTTGGGAGGCTGAGGTGGGTGGATCACCTGAGGTCAGGAGTTCAAGACCAGCCTGGCCAACATGGTGAAACCTCATTTCTATTATTTAAAAAAAAAAAAAAAAAAGTTTTAGTTTCTAAAAATCTTGCAGACATTTATGTGTCCCCAAAACAATAAAACAGCAGCCAGACTGTGCAGTCGCTTACACACCATGAAGAGGACTTTGGCTCACTGTAACCTCGAAAGAAGCTCACTGAAAGAAAAGTAGAATCTTTAAAGAGTTTAAAAGCCTAGACAGAAGATGTCCCTTTGTGAGAGCAAAATTAAAAAGAAAAACTCAGCTGCCCAGAAGTGTTTTCTTTGGCACACAGCTTCCCACATCACATTTTAAGGGCTGGCTTTCTCTTTGACCTTGGAACCTCTCAACGGTGTTCTCTGTGGTATTCATTTTCACTGGCACCTACCTGGGGGTGTGGCAATCATCTCATGTCTCTTCACAGTCAAAGGTTTTTTTCCTTTCTCTAGACAGGTGATCAGGTCTGGCTCAGAGACAACAATACCTGTTTTATTAAAAATAAACAACATGAGGCCGGGCGCGGTGGCTCACGCCTGTAATCCCAGCACTTTGGGAGGCCGAGGCGGGTGGATCACGAGGTCGAGAGATCAAGACCATCCTGGTCAACAAGGTGAAACCCCGTCTCTACTAAAAATACAAAAAGTTAGCTGGGCATGGTGGTGCGTGCCTGTAATCCCAGCTACTTAGGAGGCTGAGGCAGGAGAATTGCCTGAGCCCAGGAGGTGGAGGTTGCGGTGACCCGAGATCGCGCCATTGCACTCCAGCCTGGGTAACAAGAGCGAAACTCCATCTCAAAAAAAAAAAAAAAAAATCCCAGCACTTTGGGAGGCTGAGGTGGGTGGATCACGAGGTCAAGAGATCGAGACCATCCTGGTCAACATGGTGAAACCCCGTCTCTACTAAAAATACAAAAAATTAGCTGGGCATGGTGGCGCGTGCCTGTAATCCCTCCCAGCTACTCAGGAGGCTGAGGCAGGAGAATTGCTTGAACCCAGGAGGCGGAGGTTGCGGTCAGCCGAGATCACACCATTGCACTCCAGCCTGGGTAACAAGAGCGAAACTCCATCTCAAAAAAAAAAAAATTGAAAAATTTTAAAAAAAATAAAATAAATAACATGAATCTGGCTCATATTCTCCACTTACAAGCTAGTAATGTGCTCAGAGAGGATGTGATAAAATATTCTAGTAAATTAATACCAAAATACTAATTAATAACAGAAATTTCTAACTATTTAGAAAATACTTTGAACTTGTAGTTGTCTTTTTTTTTGAGAGGAAGTATCACTCTTGTTGCCCAAGCTGGACTGCAATGGCACAATCTTGGCTCACCACAACCTCTGCCTCCTGGGTTCAAACAATTCTCCTGCCTCAGCTTCCAGAATATCTGGGATTACAGGCATGCACCACCATGCCTGACTGATTTTGTATTTTTGGTAGAGATGAAGTTTCACCGTGCTGGTCAGCCTGGTCTCAAACTCCTGACCTCAGGTGATCTGCTTGCCTTAGCTTCCCAAAGTGCTGGGATTGCAGGTGTGAGCCACCATGCCCAGCCCTGCTTGTCAGTTTTTCAATTTTACTACCTGGTCCTATCGAGTCAAAAATTGGTGATGGCAATTAGATTTTCAGGTGGGGCAACAATATTTTATACCACTGAATTGCTGGAATTACCACTAATTTAGAGTGAAGAATACAGCTCAACTCCACAATTTGGCAAGTTTGAATTAAGATGAAATGTCTTAAAGAAATTCTTTTCTGGCTGGGCTCAGTGGCTCAAGCCTGTAATCCCAGCACTTTGGGAGGCCAAGGCGGGTGGATCACGAGGTCCAGAGATCAAGACCATCCTGGTCAACATGGTGAAACCCCGTCTCTACTAAAAATACAAATAAGTAGCTGGGTATGGTGGCGTATGCCTGTAATCCCAGCTACTCAGGAGGCTGAGACAGGAGAATTACCTGAACCCAGGAGGAGGAGGTTGCGGTCAGCCGAGATCGCGCCATTGCACTCCAGCCTGGGTAACAAGAGCGAAACTCCATCTCAAGAAAAAAACAAAAAAACAAAAAACAAAAAACAGAAATTCTTTTCTAAACGAACAAATTCTGAATATATTTTGGAAAAAGGGCTTCTGAAACTCTTTTATGCAAAGAATTATTATTTAAAAACATTCTACAAAAAAAGAGAAAGAAAACATTTAGGGTATATTATGAATTAAGTATTCAAGTTATCCTCACCAAGGAAGACCAGGTTTCTGTAGTTCTCTAACATCACATCCCTATACAGATTCCGCTGTGCAGCGTCCAGGCAATGCCACTCCTCTGGAGAGAATTCTACGGCCACATCCCTAAATTGCAATGGTCTCTGAAAAACACACACACACACACACACACACACACACACACACACACACATTTACCAAGTGGCCATGGGTGGAATTTTTAATTTGACGTAAGGCAAAAAATATGAACAGATGCTTTTCAAAAGACACAGTTGTGGCTAACAAGCATATAAAAAATAAGTTAATCACTCACCACTGGAGAAATTAAAAATAAAAAAAACACAATGAGATACCACCTCACACCAGTTAGAATGGCTGTTTTTAAAAAGTCAAAAAATAACAGATAACGGTAAGGTTGCAGAGAAAAAAGAATGCGTATACTCTGTTGGTGGGAGTTAAGTTAGTTCAAGAATTGTGAAAAAGCAGTGTGGCGTGCTGGGCGCTGTGGCTCACACCTGTAATCCCAGCACTTTGGGAGGCTGAGGCAGGTGGATCCCCTGAGGTCAGGAGTTCGAGACCAACCCATCCAATATGGAGAAACCCCATCTCTACTAAAAATACAAAATTAGCCAGGCGTGGTGGCACATGCCTCTCATTCCAGCTACTCAGGAGGCTGAGGCAGGAGAATTGCTTGAACCTGGGAGGTGGAGGTTGAGGTGAGTTGATATTGCGCCACTGCACTCCAGCCTGGGCAACAAGAGCAAAACTCCGTCTCAAAAAAAAATCCAAGTTAAGAGCTTTTGTTTAAAAAAAAAAAAAAAGTGTAGTGATTCTTCACAGAACTAAAAACAGAATTATCATTTGATCCAGGAAGTTCATAACTGACTATGTACCCAAAGAAATATACATTATTTCATTATAAAGACACATCCACATGCATGTTCATTGCAGCACTATTCACAATAGCAAAGACGTGGACAGGCCCTAAATGCCTATCAATGGTAGACTGGATAAAGAAAATACGGTGTCTGGGCTCAGTGGCTCAATCTGTAATCCCAGCATTGCGAGAGGCCGAGGCAGGCGGATTATTTGAGTTCAGGAGATTGAGACCAGGCTGGCAAACATGGTGAAACCCCATTTCTTTAAAAAAAAAAGAAAGAAAGAAAATATGGTATGGTCAGATGTGGTGGCTCATGCCTGGAATCCCAGCATTTTGGGAGGCTGAGGCAGGTGGATTGCCTGAGCTTAGAATTTTGAGACCAGCCTGGGCAACATGACAAAATCCTGTCTCAACAAAAAATAAAAATAAATAAAAAATAAATAAAAAATTGGCCGGGTGTAGTAACTCACACATTTAGTCCCAGCTACTTGGGAGGATGAAGTAGGAAAGAATTGCTTGAGCCTGGGAGGCTGAGGCTAAAGTATGCCAATATCATGACACGACACTATAGCCAGGGCAGTAAGTGAGACACTGTCTCCAAAAATAAAATAAAATGAGTTAGTAAAAGAATACATATATATGGTCCATAAACATCATGGAATACTCTGTGGCCATTAAAAATAATAATAATCACGTCCTTCACAATAACATCGATGAAGCTGGAGACTATTTTCCTTAGAAAACTAATGCAAAGCCCAGGTGTGGTGCCTGAGGCCTATAATTCCAGCCCTTTGGGAGGCCAAGGCAGGTGGATCATCTGAGGTCGGGAGTTTGAGACCAGCCTGACCAACACAGAGGAACCCCGTCTCTACTAAAAATGCAAAATTAGGGCCGGGCGCGGTGGCTCATGCCTATAATCCCAGCACTTTGGAAGGCCGAGGCGGGTGGATCACAAGGTCAAGAGATCGAGACCATCCTGGTCAACATGGTGAAACCCCATCTCTACTAAAAATACAAAAATTAGCTGGGCATGGTGGTGAGTGTCTGTAGTCCCAGCTACTCAGGAGGCTGAGGCAGGAGAATTGCCTGAACCCCGGAGGCAGAGGTTGCGGTGAGCAGAGATCGCACCATTGCACTCCAGCCTAGTAACAAGAGCGAAACTCCGTCTCAAAAAAAAAAAAAAAAAAAAAAAAAAGCAAAATTAGCCAGGAGTGGTAATTTCAGCTACTCGAGAGGCCAAGGCAGGACAACTGCTTGAACCCAAGAGGCGGAGGTTGCAGTAAGCCAAGATTGCAACACTGCACTCCAGCCTGGGCCAAAAGAGCACAACTCTATCTCAAAACAAAACAAAAGAAAACTAATGCAGAAACAGCAAACTAAATGCACGTTATTACTTGTAACAGCTAAATAATAAAAACACATGAACACAGAAAGGAGAACAACAGACACTGCAGCCTAGTTGAGGGTGGAGGGTGGGTGGAATAAGAGGATCAGAAAACATTCCTGTTTGGTGCCATGGGTAGAACCTTGGTGTCAAAATAATCTGCACACAAACTCCCTATGACATAATTTTACCTGTATAACAAACCCAAATGTGTACCCTAAACCTGTAATAAAAGTTAATAGAAAAAAAAAAAATCCCTAGGTGGAAGAGAGTGCAGTGTAGGTGAAAGGATTGATTTTTTTCCCAGGTGGGGCTGTACTCTGATTTATTTCTGTGTGCATGCAGGCAGATGAGATTATGAACAGGATTATAAACAGGAAGTCCAGAACCCTAGCTTGGTGGAGAACACAGGTTACTGCTGCAGATTCAGTGCCTGGGGGAGGGGATATGCCAGGAGACTTGTAGACACACATGTGGGTTTTCAGCAAGAAACACTAGGATCAAAAATACCGTGGTGAAGTTCCTGAGGGTGGTGCCTAGTCGTGGGAGGAGTGTGGACACGTCACTGTCTACTGTGTGTGTTTGTGAGTAGGCGGGAACCCTGTGGTGGCAGCTGCAAAAAAAAAGGGGGTCTGTCATCAGAGCTCCTTTCCTCTTAAGTTTTCAGACCTCTGTCACCCTGAGAGAAGACCTGGAATCACAGGACAATGGGCAGTGTGACAGCCTGTGTACAAGAGAGCAGAGCCATCCATTTCCAAACACTTCGAGTTTTATTCCAGGTCACGCCTCCCTGACATCTGTTTTCTGGCACCAAATCTGTACGGTTTGCTGAACATCAAACAATGCTCCAACATCAACTTATTGTCTAACATTTGAATTCTGACACCACCCAGAGTCAGCACAGACCCTAATTCAGGGCCTGAGGTGGGGAGTTCCAGACCAGCCAGACGAACACGGAGAAACCCGATACTACTAAAAACACAAAATTAGCTGGGTGTGATGGCGCATGCCAGTAATTCCAGCTACTCCGAAGGCTGAAGTAGGAGAATCACTTGAACCCGGAAGGCAGAGGTTATATTTTTGTATTTTTAGTAGAGATGGTGTTTCAACATGCTGTCCAGGCTAGCCTGGAACTCCTGACCTCATGATCCGCCTGCCTCTGTCTCCCGAAGTGCTGGGATTACAGGTGTCAGCCACCGTGCCCACTCAGGAAGGGCTTTCTTGTCTTGTTTTGTTTTTTTGAGAGGGAGTCTCACTCTTTTGCCAGGCTGGAGTGCAGTGGCCAGATCTTGGCTCACTGCATTCCCCTCCTCCGCCCCCCCTCAGCCTCTCAAAGTGCTGGGACTACAGGTTACAACCACAGAGCCGGGCCTAGGAGAGGGTTTTTAACTCTGTTAACAGAGTTCCTGTTTCTGTGTCCTTCCCCACTGGCTGGGGTCAGCCCGCACAATCTAGGCTGATCCCGGTTGGCTTAGAATCAAACTTTTTCCAAATAGAGTAAACGCGCGGTTTTTCGAGAAATGGAGAAGGCGGAAGGAGAAGGGGTAGGGTTGATTTACAACTTTTACAACTTGTGACCAGGAAGTTGAGTCTTTGAAGAGAAACTTAGTTGACCTAACAACTCCTGATCTCAAGTAATCCGCCCCCCTCAGGGTCTCAACGTGGTGGGATTACAGGTGTGAGCCTCCGCTCCCGGCAGGATAGAGAAAAGAAAAGCTGTGAACCCCACGGACCAAAGCTCCTCCCACTCATCATGAACCCGCACCCCCAGTCAGGATTCTCTGCTGAGGACGCTCCCGTGACCCCTGCACAATCAGAGAGACGCCGCGCTGGGTGCAGAGCTGCCCAGAGAGCCTCCAGGCCAGCAAACGGTCACTGCGCAGGGAAGAGACAGGACTCCGGGCCCGCGGTCAGCGCAGCCGCCATCTTACGGCTGAAGGGGACTGAGGCCGAGCTGGGCCAGGAGAACTCGGGGAGGAGACTGCAGCTGACTGCGGGGAGGCCTGAGTCCCGCTACAGCCATTTCCCACTCGTTCCAACCCGCCCCTCTTCTCTCTCGGATGTCTCACAGGCACTCTCACCATTTCTAGGCTTCCAGGGGGTCCCGGCGTCTTAGCTGCGGATCTCCCAATACCTGCAGGTCACAGGGCCGCGAGGCTGGGCCTTTAGGAGCAGAGGACACGGAGCAGAGAAGACGGACCCGGAGCTCCAGCAGCAGCAAGAGACAAAGGCCGCGCCAAACCCGGAAGACGTCCTCTCCACTCCAGCTACGTGTCTGATTGAACGGTTCCCAGCCCGACGTCCCTGATTGGATAATGTTTAAGGCCCCGCCCCCTCAGGCCCTGAGTGACAAGATGTGATCAGACTCCGGACCCAGTGGAGAAAGTAACAGCCTAAGTTGCAGCATTTTCAGGCGGGGCTTCCTCTCTCTGCTGAGCCAGGCCCGCCCCAGAGAATTGGAAAATTCTCTTTTTAACTCTCTCGTTTTGTATGTATTCCACAGGGGAACAGAAGTATTTTACTGTGATATTAATAATAACATTTTTGTTCAAAAGAAAACTTTTACTTTGGTAATAGTGCATTATCAATACGAAAGCTAATCTTAATGAAACCTTGTAAATAAGTTTTGATCCTCAAGATTTACATATATATTTTGTAATTTTTTTTGTAATTTTCTAGCCTTTTTATCTTTTATTTTTATCCACATTCTTTTTTTTTTTTTTTTTTTTTTATGTTTTTATTGAGACGGAGTGTCGCTCTTGTTACCCAGGCTGGAGTGCAATGGCGCGATCTCGGCTCACCAAAACCTCCGCCTCCTGGGTTCAGGCAATTCTCCTGCCTCAGCCTCCTGAGTAGCTGGGATTACAGGCACGCGCCACCACGCCCAGCTAGTTTTTTGTATTTTTAGTAGAGACGGGGTTTCACCATGTTGACCAGGATGGTCTCGATCTCTCGACCTCGTGATCCACCCGCCTCGGCCTCCCAAAGTGCTGGGATTACAGGCTTGAGCCACCGAGCCCGGCTTTTATCCACATTCTTTTTATTTTTTCAACTGGAAACAAATTTCAAGTAATTTCAAACTGCTATAGGTGATAGAAATCATTTAAGGCCATTCATCCGCATTCAACTTTGCAGTTATGGTGGAAAATTTAGCCTATTGATGTCCTGCTGATGAAATAGTCTTTCAAGAGAAATCAGAGACGCATGAACATCAACATCGAAAACAGCGACAATGTTACGGTGCACCAGAATTCAGTTATCTTCCCAGTATTGTTTTTCCCAAACTTTATTCCCAATTAAACATTTGCACTCCAGCCTGGACGACAAAAGCGAAACTGTCTCAACAAAACAAAAACAAACAAAAAACATGATGGTTGAGGCAGAGGTGTTACATTTTCACCAAATTCAGTAGCAAACTAACACTTGCTTCTCCACAGGGCATTAAGCTTTGCCAGCCTCTGGCAGTTTCTGGGTCCAAAATCCGAAAGGTACCTCTTCCCATGTTGTTTCTGCCTAAGGCTCCAGTTAGCATGTTGACCTAGGAGTTACTTGCAGTTGTACTGCCCATTCGGCATGGGCCATAGATCCAGGGCCAGTTACACCGCTTGTTTAGCTTGTTCAGAAGCCGTGCTCTTTTCTCCCCAGTGAAAGTCAAATCGTTTTCTAGTGACTGCATGCAGAGGTTGTAAAATGTTACCCAAGTGGGGAATATGATGTCTCCAGAATCCAAACAAGCCAATACATTTCTGGGCCTCCTTTTTAGTGGTGGGGGTTGCAAATTCTAGTTTTTTTTTTTTTTTTTTTTTTTTTTTTTGCCTTAGCGTTCGGTAAAATGGACTATTTCTCTGCATTCCAGAAGAAGCCAAAGAATTTTACAGTTTGTGCAGGTCCTTGAATTTTACTAAGGTTAATTTCCATCCTTAAGATAGGAGCTGGGGGGTGGCCGGGTGCGGTGGCTCACACCTGTAATCCCAGCACTTTGAGAGGCCGAGGAGGGTGGATCATGATGTCAGGAGTTCAAGACCAGCCCAATCAAGATGGTGAAACCCCATCTCTACTAAAAACACAAAAAATTAGCCAGACACGGTGGCGGGCACCTGTAATCCCAGCTACTCAGGAGGCTGGGGCAGAGAATGGCTTGAATCCAGGAGGCATGTGGTTGCAGTGAGCCAAGATCATGCCAGGGCACTCCAGACTGGGTTACAAGAGCGAGACTCCGTCTCAAAAAAAAAAACCAAAAGGAAGTGGGTTTTTACCTGCTCCAAGCCCCTGCTGACTAGTTATTCAGTTTCACCCTGACTGGGCCACTTGGACAGCTGCTTTTTTCAGCAATAGGCTGACAGCTTTAAGCCTGATCAGTCATGACGTAGGCCTGGCATTGGGCCAGGGCTAGTCTGGAAGTAGATTAGCATTTTCCTTTTTTAGCTTACATTTCTCTTGCAGCAACCAGCCCCTTTTTTGACACCTTAACTTTTTTTTTTTTTTTTTTTTTTTTTTTTGAGACAGAGTTTCGCTCTTGTTACCCAGGCTGGAGTGCAATGGCGCGATCTCGGCTCACCGCAACCTCTGCCTCCTGAGTTCAGGCAATTCTGCCTCAGCCTTCTGAGTAGCTGGGATTACAAGCATGCGCCACCATGCCCAGCTAATTTTTTGTATTTTCAGTAGAGACGGGGTTTCACCATGTTGACCAGGATGGTCTCGATCTCTTGACCTCGTGATCCACCCGCCTCGGCCTCCCAAAGTGCTGGGATCACAGGCGTGAGCCACCGCGCCCACCCGACACCTTAACTTATAAGCAGTAAACAAATGCCATTCACTCCGGGAGATCCCCCAGCATCTCCTTTGCGGACCGGAATCGACTGCAGCACGTCACGCAGAGTCAAAGGTTTAAATTTGTACTAATTTAGATTCTCAGTTCTCACAAAGTCAGTTGCCCTGGACCAATGAATCGCTAAGGGAAGAACTGGGAGTTCCCATCCTGAAATACGTAAACTCCTAGAGTTTCCAATCCTGTCCTTGTGGCCAAAAAGTGGCACTATTTTGGTTTTGAATTATGTTTTTGATGTCAAGTGTTCTGTACAGGACACGCTTGAGGCGAGAAGACACAAACACAATACCTTTAAGGGTAAACAAGCTTTATCCCATGTAACTGGCAATGCACATATAATAAATAAATGATATAAGCAAATCAACATAATAAGCAGATTGATATAATCAGCAGATTGATACAATAAGCAAATTGCAATAAAAAGAGAAGGGAAAAAGATAAATATAGTTATATACTGACACTCATCAGACTGTGAATTCACCACCAGAATGGGAAGCAACAGCCTGGCCTCCAGAGTTGGACACTCATCCCTGCACAAACTAGGAGAGGTCTCATGAAGCTTCAGCGCGGTCTGGGACCCTAGCTTTTTGAATGAGTTTTGGCGTAAGGCCCAGTCACAAGGGCCCTTTGCAACTGGCCTTAAGGAACACAAAATGGTCAACTTGTTTTGGGGATTATCTATTTTTTCTGCAACAACTAATGTAGAGGAATAGATTGAAATAGAAATTTCTCTGATATCGTCCAGGATGAATGCAAGGGGCTCACACAAACTGTTCCAGGATTTGACCATTGTGTCCACATTCAGTGGAGTTCAAATTGAATATTTAACTCTTCCTCCACAAATTACCATCTGGATCAATCAGTTCGGCCTAGGCAAAGGGCAAGGTGAACCCCATAGGCCGATATACAGCCTCCACCTCCCGGGTTCAAGCGACTCTCCTGCCTCAGCCCACGGAGTAGCTGGGACTAGAGGTGTGTACCACCACACCCAGCTAAGTTTTTGTATTTTGATTAGAGATCAGGTTTCACCATGTTGGCCAGGCTGGTCTTGAACTCCGGACCTCAAGTTATCTGCTCAACTTGACCTTCCAAAGTGCTGGGATTACAGGTGTGAGCCACTACGCCTGGCCCTAAATGATTTTCTATCTCCTGTAACGGTTTGAATTACTTAAATGTTGTTTCAAATTGAAAAAAATTCAAAGAATGTAGATTAAAAATATAATATAAAAAGCTAGGCTGGGTGTGGTGGCTCCCATCTGTAATCCCACATTGGTAGGCTGAGACGGGTGGATCATCTTAGGTCAGGACTTTGAGACCAGCCTGACCAAAATGGAGAAATCCCATCTCTACTGAAAATACAATTAGCCAGGCGTGGGGGCACATGCCTGTAGTCCCAGTTACTTCGGAGGCTGAAGCAGGAGAATCACTTGAACCTGGGAGGCAGAGGTTGCAGTGAGCTGAAATTGCACCACTGTACTCCAGCATGGGCAACAAGAGAGAAACTCCATCTCCCAAAAAAAAAAAAAAAAAGTAAAAAAAAATAAAAATAAAAATAATTTTTAAAAAAAGGAGCCGGGTGTGGTGGCTCACGCCTATATAATCCAAGCACTTTGGAGGCCAAGGCGGGTGGATCACCTGAGGTTGGGGGTTCAAGACCAGTCTGACCAACATGGTGAAACCCCGTCTTTAAAAATAAATAAATAAAATAAAAATAAATGTTAAAAAAATTACAAGTACCATATATGTAAATCTTGAGAGGTCAAAATGACTGATTTATTTACAAAATTTTATTTAAATTAGCTTTAGTATTGATAATACACTATTACCAAAGTAAAAGTTGATTTTCTCTTGAACAAAAATTTTACATATTATTAATATGACAGCAAAATACTTCTGTTCACCTTGTGAATACATTCAAAAATAGAATAAATAAGAAATAGAATTTTCCCATCCTGTGGGGTGGGCCTGGCTCAGCTCAGGAAGGAAGCCGTCTGAAAAAGCAGCAGCACTAGGTGTGGTGGCTTACGCCACTAATCCCAGCACTTTGTGACCAAGGCTGGAGGATCATGAGGTCAAGAGGTCCAGACATTCCTGGCCCGCACGGTGAAACCCCACATCTACTAAAAATACAACAATCCTCTGGGTGTGGTGGCATGCACCTGTAGTCCCAGCTACTCAGGATGAGGTAGGAGAATAGCTTATATCTGGGAGGTGGAGGTTGCAGGGGGCTGAGATTGTGCCACTACACTCCAGCCTGGCGAGAGAGCAAGACAGACAGATGGAAAGAGAGAAAGAAAAAGAGAGAGAGAAGAAAGAAAGGAAAGAAAGAAAGGAGGGGAGGGAGGGAGGGAGGAAGGAAGGAAAAAGAGAGAAAGAAAGAAAGGGAAAGAAAAGAAAGGGTTGCAGAGCTGCAGCACACCGGGCGCCTATAATCCCAGCACTTTGGGAGGCTGTGGCAGGTGGATCACAAGGTAAGGAGTTCAAGACCAGCTTGGCCAATATGGTAAAACCCCATATTTACTAAAAATACAAAAATTAGCCAGGTGTGGTGGTCACCCCTGTGGTCCCAGCTACTCGGGAGGCTGGGCAGGAGAATCACTTAAACCCAGAGGCAGAGGTTGCAGTGAGCCAAGATTGCGCCACTTCACTCCAGCCTGGATGACAGAACAAGACTCCATCTCAAAAGAAAAGAAAAGAAAAAAGGCACAATTCCTCTAAATTTAGAGTCAGTTGTGTAGCCTAGGTACAGACGCCCTCTCTAAACATGCAGAATCAATGCCATTTTTTCACCTGCGTCATTTTAAATCTCCTGCAGCCACCAACTTACCCCAACTGGAATACTGACTAATTACGTAGTGTGTTACCCATACTAGTGCTTTTACACATCTAGTGCTTTTCTGTGTTTGTCCCCTTCATTTATGTCTAAACAACACCACGTCTGATGCAGAGACATAGGAGTTGGAAAAAAAAAAAAGAAAGAAACAGGAGCACGACTGATGTCATCCCCTGGTGTTCATCTCAATAAATTAACCCAGTAAGATCAATAAACTCAATGATGTCAATTATAAAAATTAAAAGAACAACAACAAAGGAAAAATCTGCTTAGAGTTCTCCAACTGAAAGAAAAAAGGTGTACTAGCCGGGCGCGGTGGCTCAAGCCTGTAATCCCAGCACTTTGGGAGGCCGAGGCGGGTGGATCACGAGGTCGAGAGATCGAGACCATCCTGGTCAACATGGTGAAACCCCGTCTCTACTAAAAGCGCAAAAAATTAGCTGGGCATGGTGGCACGTGCCTGTAATCCCAGCTACTCAGGAGGCTGAGGCAGGAGAATTGCCTGAGCCCAGGAGGCGGAGGTTGCGGTGAGCCGAGATCGCGCCATTGCACTCCAGCCTGGGTAACAAGGGCGAAACTCCGTGTCAAAAAAAAAAAAAAAAAAAAAAGAAAAAAGGTGTACTAAACTTACTATGGAATTACATCTTCAAATGACTTTGTGAGCACCATTAAAATTTGTAAAAATTATTCCAAAAATTCTGGAGTAGGTTATATAAAGAATACTTTATAAACTTTGGAACATGAAAATTATGCATTAGGTCTACCATGAATTCCAGGTAAGTAAAAACAGGACTTACATAAGAAGATTCTGAACTAGGAACCGTAAGATTTTGGAAAAATGAATTCAATACAAAGGAGAAAGACAGATTTGCTTTGAAATTCTTTGAGGTTACTAGTTTGGTAGTAAGTTATCAACACTTTAAAAATTATCGGTTTGGCTGGGCGCGGTGGCTCACGCCTGTAATCCTAGCACTTTGGGAGGCTGAGGTGAGTGGATCATCTGAGGTCAGGAGTTCAAGACCAGCCTGGCCATCATGGTGAAACCCCATCTTCAAAAAAAAAAAAAAAAAAAAAAAAATTATTGGTTTGTTCTAACATATTTTCTTTCTTCTCAAAATAGGTACACATCAACATTCAAATACAATTACTTGCTTCATAACCCTCTTACACTTTTGAGTAACATATTTGTATATTAAATTTCCATGTAAGTCAAAACTTAAAAGTCTATGTGTGTCTGGAAAGCCACAGAGATTGCATGTTCAAAGAGAAAATGTAAGCTAACATTTTCTAAATAGTCATTTAAGATTCAGAAATATATGGCTTTTGATTCTATGCCTGTGTAATTTTCATAATAACCATCTTCATGGCCCTATAGTTAGAAGAAAAATAATAAAAATGTAACCTATGAAAACAATATTCTCCAAGATATTTGAAGTTTAAAGCCAATAAGGATAAGAATTACCAGAGATGCCATTCCACTACATTTCTGAATAGTATGTTGTTACGGTCTGTTACCGAGAAACTTGAGTAAGGTTAAATAGGTTAACACTAGTGGCAGGATAAAACTTCATTCAACGCACAACTGTCTTAACATATTAAAAACAAATTTGTTTTATTAAAACAAATTAAGTTCACACAGTATAAGAAAAGCATTACAAAATCCACTATATTTTGTTATCTTAATGCACAATCGGTAAAACAATTTATTAAAATTTGAATAATGCACAAGAATATTACTCTGAGCCATCTATCTCATGCATCACGTACAACAGTTTTCTAAGTCAACCACAAAAGCCTCTGTGTGGATTTTCTTCACACACCTTACACTTCAGTGTCCTCAATCTCCTAGTGAAAAGTATGTAAATGATGTTCTCCTAATACAGAACCTCTCAAAGTTCTCAGCAGCAGAAATTGACCACATGCTTTCACAGACACAAGGAATAAAGACACAGCAATGAGTAATTTGAGAGTTGAATTACATCAAAATTTGCTTTTGTAAAAATCTAAAATTCTTTCAATGCAAAAACAGTACACTTTGAAAATAATTGCAAGTCTCAAAATATTAATCTCCTGTTTCTTTTTAGCCTACATTATGTTAACTTTGAATTATTCTTTATAATCAATACTCTGATTTAAAATAATACTGAGTTAGTGTTTTAGTGGTTTCTACTATGAATCTTCTGATGTTCATTTAGACTTGATTTTTTGATTAATTTTTTCTATCTGCTGCATCTGTTAAACATTTTCATTTTCATATAAACTACTATTTTCTTTTTTTTTTTTTTTTTTTTTTGAGACGGAGTTTCGCTCTTGTTACCCAGGCTGGAGTGCAATGGCGCGATCTCGGCTCACCGCAACCTCCGCCTCCCGGGTTCAGGCAATTCTCCTGCCTCAGCCTCCTGAGTAGCTGGGATTACAGGCACGCACCACCATGCCCAGCTAATTTTTTGTATTTTTAGTAGAGATGGGGTTTCACCATGTTGACCAGGATGGTCTCGATCTCTCGACCTTGTGATCCACCCGCCTCGGCCTCCCAAAGTGCTGGGATTACAGGCTTGAGCCACGGCGCCCGGCTAAACTACTATTTTCTAAGGTGTATTTTTTCAACAATTTCTTTTCATATTCATTACAGTTGTAGGGTTTCTTTCCAATAGAAAGTCTCTAAAATTGAATAAGATTTGAACAACTGTTAGAGGGTGCCCCTTCAGCATAAACTCTATGCACAACAAAATCTGTAATATAAATAAACATATTGCACCACTCTTTATATTTGTAAGGTTTTTCTTCAGTATAAAAACGCTTGTGTACTCTAAGGCTTATATGTTTGAAGTCTTTCCATGTACAAATGTAATGTATCACTATCATTACACCTTGTGCACGCTAAGGATTTTATTTGGTGATGTCTTTCCACAGACAAAAGTAATGTGTATCACTACACTTATATTGCTTTTATCTAGCACAAAACCTCTATGAGTAAGCTCATAGCAGTTATTAAATGCTTTGCCACATTCTTTAAAATCTTCTGATTCTCAGCATGAATTTTCTCATGTGCAATAAGATGTAGGCAATGTAGTCAAAGACTTTCCCACATTCTTCACAGTTGTAGTGTTTCTCTCCAGTATAAATTACCTTCCGATTTGAATGGCTTGAGCAAGATTTAGGGACTTTGCCACATTTTTTACACTTGTAGATTTCTCGTTAGTAACAATTCTTATGTAGTAAGGTGTGAGCAGTGATTAAATGCTTCCCCACATTTTTTATGCTTGCAGGATTTCTCTCCTCTTTGAATTCTCTTATGTTCATTAAGATGTGAGCATCGTTCGAAAGTTTTGCCACATTCTTCACATTTATAGCGTTTCACTGCAGTATGAATTTTCTTATGTCTAGTAAGGTGTGAGCACCGATTAAAGGCCTTCCCACATTCTTCGCAGTTGTAGGGTTTCTCTCCAGTATGAATTCTCTTGTGTTCAGTAAGGACTGAGGACCAGTTAAAAGCTTTGCCACATTCTTCACATTTGAAGGGTTTCTCTCCAGTGTGAATTCTCTTGTGTTTAGTAAGGTATGAGAACCTCTTAAAGACTTTGTCACATTTTTCACATTTGTAAGGTTTTTCTCCACTATGAATTACCTTATGTTCAGTAAGAATTGATGATGAGTTAAAAGCTTTGCCACATTCTTCACATTTGTAGGGTTTCTCTCCAGTATGAGTTCTGTTGTGGATAGTAAGTAGTGAGCAGTGGTTAAAAGCTTTCCCACATTCTTTACATTTGTAGGGTTTCTTTCCAGTGTGAACTGTCTTATGTTTAGTGAGATGTGAATGCCGGTTAAAAGCTCTGCCGCATTCTTCACATGTATAGGGTTTTTCTCCAGTATGAATTTTCTTATGTCTAATAAGGGGCGAACACCAGTGAAAGGCTTTTCCGCATTCTTCACATTTGTAGGGTTTCTCGCCAGTATGGATTCTCTTATGTTCAGTAAGGCTTGAGCACCAGTTAAAAGCTTTGCCACATTCTTCACATTTGTAGGGTTTCTCTCCGGTGTGAATTCTCTTATGTTTAGTAAGGTATGAGAACCACTTAAAGGTTTTACCACATTCCTCACATATGTAGAGTTTCTCTTCAGTATGAATTATCTTGTGATAAGAAAGGCCTGAGTGAGATTTAAAGACTTTGCCACATTCGATACATTTGAAAAGTTTCTCTGTAGCATGTCTTATGTTTTGTCTATTTCGAGTTGATGATTTACTAAAGACTTTCACACATTTATTATATAGAAAAAATTTGCTACGTAGAGTTGACAAACACTGGTTAAGTCCATTGTAACTTCCTCTGTGATCTTTATACTCACCCGCATTTTCCCAGCCTTCCCCTAAGTGTGAATTCTCAAGGCCACAGCTTCTGTATCTTCTCAGTATCACTTTTTGGAACGAGTCTTTCATGTCCTGTTCTGGCAAAAAATCTTCAGTGTAATGACAAGACATAGCTGAAACAGAACATTAACAAAGTTAATTGTGGTTTTAAGCTGTCAGTTTAAAAGAAAGAAAGAAAATTAACAACGTATTCCACTTCTATTTGCAGACTCAGATAAGTGTACTTTACAAATCTAATATAGAAAATTAAGAAAAGGACAGGATGACTCACCGGATGCAGCTGGGAAACACTCACTCCAAGGAGAGAAAACAAAATGCTGTGTAAAACATCACACTTTAAACAGATCTTTTGAGAGAAAAATTAATTCAGAGGTAATGCAGACACTGTGGTTGAAGAGGAAGACGGAAGCTTGCTCAAGGTCCCTGGGCACCAGGACTGGCTCCGAGATCCAGCCCAGACCTAACGTGTGAAGAAACCCCATGGCAACACGGTCTAGCCATGGACCTCTGAGCTTCTCACTGTGGTTCCTTCTCCTTGAAAGGCATTTCCCAGCTACATCTAGTCTGAGATGCTGATTACAGGATCTCATATACATCTGTGAACTGGCAGGGGGAGCCACCTGAAGAACAGGCAGAGGCGCAGCTTAAACTCATGTGGGAATCTGAATGTTTCTCTGTGCTGTGCAGCTGTAGCTGACCATAGGTGCCCATCCTCCAAGGCTCTCCGCCTTTCACTGAGGGCATCCATCTCCTGCTGTCTGCTAGGCTGAGGGGGAGGACTGAGGTGAATCTGATCCATGCACCACCCTGCCTGCTGGCACCTTCCAAGATGACCTACCTGGCAGGTGCTGCAGGAGAGTGCCCACAGCACAGCATCCACTTAACATTGCAGCTGGTGCTTGACCCCAAAGGGCCAGAGGACAAATTCATGGGCCTAGTACCAACTGCCCAGGTCTTCAGTACATTGCCTAACAATATCAAGCCGAGATAATATCAAGCTGAGACATGCGGTCTGAGCTTAAGTGGGGTAGAAGCCCACACTGTCAGCACGCAGAGAATAGCGCGGCATGTTCTTGAAGGGCATGTCCCCTTCATTCACATGAATAAACTGGGAAGGGTGAGGCCAGATGAGCAGCCATGGTTTCTATCTTAGGAAGCCTAGCAGCCTAGAACATCTGGAAGAGCTCAGCAATTTGGATGCAGATGGCTTGGGACAAGCCTAGCCAACTCAGCCTGCTCCCAGAGAAGACATTCGAGAGAGACCTGCTGAGTTGGGGGACCACAAGCTGGGCGCGCCCCGCTGCCATCTGCTGGACTAAAATCCTGGGCTGCAGGTGTAATCCTGGTTGCAAACCATGGTGCAATTGCCCTGCCTGGGGATTTTCCGTCCTTGAGCCACTGCATCACCAAACCACTCACAGACACATAACTTACCCTTACTTTTTAAAGCAAAGGAGAACAACAGGGCCCCTGATAAATACAGGTTTCCTGGTGACCTCAAAGTGTGAACTGTCCCGAACGGAGGGGGGAGCACAGACCACCAAAGCCCTCCTTGGAGCAAAGGAACGGGTGTAGTGCCAGCAGTTGAAGGGAGTATCACCAAGGCTCCAAAATAAATTTGGAGAGAAAATAACTCTCACACACTACCTTCCCTCCCCAGAGCACTTTTAAGTGCCATCTACTTGGACTGCAGCCTGGATTACACCACCAGACAAGAATGCATTGCTTCAACATGAAGCACTCTATGAAATCTCTGCAGGAACTTGTCTACAACCAAGGAACCTAGACAGAGCCTCTGCCCTCTGAAAACACCGTTAAATGAAACCAACAGATTATACACAACATACAGCCAAAACTTCAAGGACAAAAAAGAATTAAAGCAATTTTAAAGCCCCATCCAAATGACAGATAATTCCAAAGGAAAAGAAGCACCAGCTCCCTCACATAAGAAAGCAAAAAAGTCCTGGCAATACAGAAAGCCAGAGTGTTTCATTACCTCAAAAGGATCTCACTAGTTCCTTTAAAAGAACCAAACACAACTTTAAAAATGGAAAATTCAAAATACAATTGAAAGCCTTATAAACAGAATAGACTAAGTAGATGAAACTATTTCACAGCCCAGAGACTGCTCCTTTATATCTACCCAGTCAGAAGACAGTAAAGAAAAAGGAATTCACTACAAACAAAGCTTCTGATAAATATGGAATTATGTAAAGGGATCAAACTTATAACTCATTAGTATTCCTGAGACAGAAGGAAAAAAAGTAACCAACTTGGAAAACATACTTCAGGATATAATCTATGAAAATTTTTCCCATTTTACTAGAGAAGCTGACATAAAGATACAAGAAATTCAAGGAACTCCTGTGAGATACTACACAAGACAATCATCCCCAAGGCACATAGTAATCAGACTTTCCAGAGTCAACATGAAATAAAAAAATAATAATAATAAGGCTGGGCGCGGTGGCTCAAGCCTATAATCCCAGCACTTTGGGAGGCCAAGGCGGGTGGATCACGAGGTCAAGAGATCAAGACCACCCTGGTCAACGTGGTGAAACCCCGTCTCTACTAAAAATACAAAAATTAGCTGGGCATGGTGGCACACGCCTGTAGTCCCATCTACTAGGGAGGCTGAGGCAGGAGAATTGCTTGAACCCAGGAGGCGGAGGTTGCGGTGAGCCGAGATCGTGCCATTGCACTCCAGCCTGGGTAACAAGAGCGAAACCCCGTCTCAAAAAAAAAAATAAATAAATAAATTTTAAAAAATAAATAAAAGGCAACTAGAGAAAAGGGCCCTATTACCTAAAAAATTATTCCTATCCAACAAACACTGGACTTCCCCACAGAAACCTTCAAGAAATCTGGAAGATTAAAAAAAAAAAAGAAGAAAAGTAATCACACACTCCACATGCATATATATGTGTGGGTATTTGTGTGTATATGTATATACAATTCAACAAATAGAGTTGAACCTGGGCAAGTAAAGTTTAAATTACCAATTTTAGTTTACACTAAAAATATAAAATGTAAGCCGGGCACGGTGGCTCAAGCCTGTAATCCCAGCACTTTGGGAGGCCGAGGCGGGTGGATCACGAGGTCAAGAGATCAAGACCATCCTGGTCAACATGGTGAAACCCCGTCTCTACTAAAAATACAAAAAATTAGCTGGGCATGGTGGTGCGTGCCTGTAATCCCAGCTACTCAGGAGGCTGAGGCAGGAGAATTGCCTGAACCCAGGAGGCGGAGGTTGAAACCCCATCTGTACTAAAAATACAAAAATTAGCTGAGCCTAGTGGCACATGCTTGTAATCCCAGCTACTTGGGCAGCTGAGGCAGGAGAATCACTTGAATCCAGGAGGCAGAGGTTGCAGTGAGCCAAGACGGCGCCATGCATGCCAGCCTGCGTGACAGACTAAAACTCCGTCTCAAAAAAAAAAAAAATTAGCTGGGCATGGTGGCACGCACTTGTAGTCTCAGCTACTCTGGAGGCTGAGACAGCAGAATTGCTTGAACCCAGGAGGCAGAGATTGCAGTGAGCCGAGATTGCGCCTGGCTCCTGAGCAAGACTCTGTCTCAAAAAAAAAAATAATAATAGTTTAACATTGAGTTCCTAAAAAGTACACATATATTCCTGTGTCCCCTACAAGACAAAGGGCAATCAGATAACAAAGTCTTTTAAAAGCCATGAAGAGGACTTTGGCTCTCACTGTAACCTCAAGGAAGATAATGTTTTAGAGAATTTAAGAGCATGAGACAAAAGAATGCCTCTCTGTGAGAGGAAGAAACAATCAGGCTCCTCAAAAGACATCTTCATTGGAGCAGAGCTTCTCAAATAACCTTTTAAGGTCTGGCCTCCTCCTTGACCTTTGGAGCTTTCACCTGTGGCATGTGTTTCATTCATCCAACCTACCTGGGGGTTTGGCTACGGTCTCATGTCTCTTCACACTCCAGGGCTCTTGGCTTTGCTCCAGACAGCTAATGAGTTCTGGCTTAGAAACAGTAAGACCTGTTTTATTAGAAAAAAGTAACGTGATTCTCACTGGGATTCTCCAATTATCAACCAGGTACTGTGCTTTGTAGAGAAGAGAGAACATTATAGCTGATTCTACAACATTAATAACAAGGCCAGGTGCAGGGGCTCATGCCTGTAATCCCAGGGCTTTGGGAGGCTGAGGCAGGCGGATCATGAGGTCAGAAGATAGAGACCATCCTGGCCAACATGGTGAAACTCCGTCTCTACTAAAAATACAAAAATTGGCCAGGCGCGGTGGCTCAAGCCTGTAATCCCAGCACTTTGGGAGGCCGAGGCGGGTGGATCACAAGGTCAAGAGATCGAGACCATCCTGGTCAACATGGTGAAACCCCGTCTCTACTAAAAATACTAAAAATTAGCTGGGCATAGTGGTGCGTGCCTGTAATCCCAGCTACTCAGGAGGCTGAGGCAGGAGAATTGCCTGAACCCAGGAGGCGGAGGTTGCGGTGAGCCGAGATTGTGCCATTGCACTCCAGCCTGGGCAACAAGAGCGAAACTCCGTCTCAAAAAAAAAAAAAAAAAATTAGCTGGGTATGGTGTCGTGGGTCTATAATCCCAGCTACTTGAGAGGCTGAGGCAGGAGAATAGCTTGAACCCAGGAGGTGGAGATTGCAGTGAACCAAGATCGTGCCACTGTACTACAGCCTGGCAACAAAGTGAGACTCCATCTCAAAACAAACAAACAAAAAAAAAGAAAAAAGAAAAAAGAAAACTAATAATGAAATAATATTTCTAAACAGAAAGTTTAGAATATCTTATATTTTGGGGTATTTAGCTTCCCTGCTCAATACTAATCAAAAATTGGTGGTAGAAGTTGGATTTTAAGGTCTAGTCAATAATATTTTATACCATGAAGTTCCAAAAATTACGATTAAAGGCTGGGCACGGCAGTTAACACCTGTAATCCCAGCACTTTAGGAGGCCAACACGGGTGGATCACCTGAAGTCAGGAATTTGAGACCAGCCTGCCCGACATGGTGAAACCTCATCATTACTAAAATTACATAAATTAGCCAGGCATGGTGGTGGGCACCTGTAGTCTCAGCTACTCGGGAGGCTGAGACAGAAGAATTGCTTGAACCCAGAAGGCGGAGGTTGCAGTGAGCCAGATTGCACACTGCACTCCAGCCTGGGCGACAGAGCTAGAGTCTGTCTCACAAAGAAAAATAAAAAACTGTGGTCTCTTTGGATGACCAAAAATAAAAATAAAAATAATCAAAAAATAGAACTACCACTAGAGTGAAAAATGCCCATCACTTCAAGGCAGAAGAAAGTTAATATAAACATAAAGCATCTTGAAGATTTTCTTCTCCATCCCAACAAATCCCTAAGTTTTCCTTGAAAGCAAGGATCTAAAACTCATTTATACAAAGCAGAAACCCCCATCAAACATTCTACAGAGAAAGAAAATAAAAGGTTTAGTGTGAAATAGGAATTCTGTATTGAAATTGTTCTCACCCAGAGAGACCAGGTTTCTGTAGTTCTCTAGCATCACATTCCTATACAAATTCTGCTGAGCAGGGTTCAGAAACTCCCACTCCTCCAGAGAGAATTCTATGGTCACATCCCTGAATGTCAACAGTTCCTGAAAAATAAAATAAAACATATTGACCAACTGTCAATGGGCAGGAGAGCTCTTAACTTCACTCCATGTGAAAACAGAGGATTGCTGTGACTTATATGCGTTACTAGAATTATCCAATAAGATATTTTTAACAGAAATGTTCTCTGATGTATTCTCTAAAACTGAGGAAAGAAAATAGAATCTATGGGCTGGGTGCGGTGGCTCAAGCCTGTAATCTCAGCACTCTGGGAGGCCGAGGCGGGTGGATCACGAGGTCAAGAGATCGAGACCATCCTGGTCAACATGGTGAAACCCCGTCTCTACTAAAAATACAAAAAATTAGCTGGACATGGTGGTGCGTGCCTGTAATCCCAGCTACTCAGGAGGCTCAGGCAGGAGAATTGCCTGAACCCAGGAGGTGGAGGTTGCGGTAAGCCGAGATCGCACCATTGCACTCCAGCCTGGGTAACAAGAGCGAAACTCCGTCTCAAAAAAAAAAGAAAATAGAAAGCCGGGCGCGGTGGCTCAAGTCTGTAATCCCAGCACTTTGGGAGGCCGAGGCGGGTGGATCATGAGGTCGAGAAATCGAGACCATCCTGGTCAACATGGTGAAACCCCGTCTCTACTAAAAATACAAAAAATTAGCTGGGCATGGTGGCACATGCCTGTAATCCCAGCTACTCAGGAGGCTGAGGCAGGAGAATGCCTGAACCCAGGAAGCAGAGGTTGCAGTGAGCCGAGACCGCGCCATTGCACTCCAGCCTGGGTCACAAGAGGGAAACTCCATCTAAAAAAAAAAAAAAAAAAAAGAAAGAAAGAAAATAGAATCTACGTGGCCGAGAGCGGTGGCTAACACCTGTAATCCCAACACTTTGGGAGGCCAAGGCAGGCAGAAGTTGGGAATTCCAGACCAGTCTGGCCAACATGGTAAAACCCTGTCTCTACTGAAAATACAAAAATTAGCCAGGTGTGGTGGTACACGCCTGCAATCCCAGTTACTTAGGAGGCTGAGGCAGGAGAATTGCTTGAACTCCAGAAGCGAAGGTTGCAGTGAGCCGACATCACGTCACTGCACTCCTGCCTGGGTGACAGAATGAAACCCTCTCTCCAAAGGAAGAAAAAAAGAAAAAAAGAAAAGAAAACAGAATCCACAAAATCAGTGTAGATACTTTTCCAAATAATGCAGTATAAAATTAAGGGTATCGGGCTGGGCGCGGTGGCTCACACCTGTAATCCTGGCACTTTGGGAGGCCGAGGTGGGTGTATCACCTGAGGTCAGGAGTTCAAGACCAGCCTGGCCATCATGGTGAAACCCTATCTTTAAAATAAAATAAAATAAGGGTATCACTCTAGGTATCATCCCAAAAGGCAGTTTTGTTTTTTTTTTGAGATGGAGTTTCGCTCTTGTTACCCAGGCTGGAGTGCAATGGCGTGATCTCGGCTCACCGCAACCTCCACCTCCTGGGGTTCAGGCAATTCTCCTGCCTCAGCCTCCTGAGTAGCTGGGATTACAGGCATGTGCCCCCATGCCCAGCTGATTTTTTGTATTTTTAGTAGAGATGGGGTTTCACCATGTTGACCAGGATGGTCTCGATTTCTTGACCTCATGATCCACCTGCCTCGGCCTCCCAAAGTGCTGGGATTATAGGCTTGAGCCATCGCGCCCGGCCTAAAAGGCAGTTTGAGAAGAATCTGAGGTGTGCATGTCTTCCTGCCTGATCCCCATCACTGGCCAGGACTGGAGGAGACCAGGCATGAGACCAGGGTGAAGACTACAGTGATGACAGACAGCCTGTTTCCTGGTTGCTCCCCATTAGCCCGGACCTGTCTTCTGAAGTACACTCGTGTGGCCTCTCCCAACCTGGAGCTGTCCCCGGCCGTCCCTGTCCTCCCTGAAGCACTTCGATGTGCCTACAGTGGGTGAGCTGTGGCAGCCAGCTCCAAGGCTGTAAGGCGCTGAGGCCCATGGCCTGTGGCCCCCACGGATGCCACTGCCCCAGACAGGACCCACAACAAGCTGGCTGTGTCCTTCAGAAAGTCACTTACTCATGTCTGCCCATTTATTCGCTTTATGGGTGTCGGGTTGGAAACAGTCACTCAGCCAGCCCTCACCTTTTATAAAGGAATTGAAAGTGGGTACCTGGCAAGGCCATGCCCTTGGTATCTGCAACATGGTATGCAGGGGTAGCGGTGGAAAGAGCTCACAGAGGGCTTTGCCCTGGGCCAGGTGCTGAGTGGGCTGTGCACTGAATCTTCGCAGCTCAAACTCCAGCGAGCCTCCCCACATGGGTAGCAAAGACCCGAGCTCAGAGTAGGTAAGTCTGTGCCCAGCGTGCAGTGCCCAAGGTCACCCAGCACTGCATGCTGGCCTCTCTGCAAAGCCAGACTTTCCCACCTGTGGCCCAAGAGGTATGCAGAGATGCATTTTTTTTTTTATTTTAAAAATGTTAGAAACAGGTCCCCTTCACTTCTCATTTCCTGCTACCCTAGTATTGTGAAACCACACCTCCCAGCCTCCCTTGCACTAGGCTGTGGCCACATGACTGACTCTAGCAAAGGAAATGTGGATGGAGTCTTCCTCTTCTGCAGAGACCCTGGAGGCTCACAGATGGAGATGCCTGGATCCCTGTGGCACTCTATGGAAGAGAGAGGAGAGGATGAGATCTGTGGACATTAATCTACAACCATTTATTGTGAAGTATCAGAAAAATACAGCCTGCCAACCAAACAAACAAACAAAATTAAGGGCATCAGCACAGGCATATACAGTTTGAGTTTTCTATCTACAGATTATAGAATAAGTTGTAAATATTACTCATACAGAGAAGTCATGATGAGTCAGAAAGTACCTCACAAATTTTAATGTATATAACAATGAACTACAGATCTTGGTAAAATGCAGTCTGATTCAGGTGATTTCAGGTGACGCCTGAGTTTCTGAATTTCTGAAAAGCTAGCCAGTGATAACAACGCATCCAAATCAAAAATATTTTATCAAACATAGAGTAGGTGGGTGAGCCTGTGTTTACCCCAGTTTATCTGACTAATAAACAAAGATGAGCCTTCATTTTCCAAAGCAAGCTTTAAGCAAAGAGCATCTAAAAAGGAAGGGGAGCTTGCAGATTAAATGCGATGCTTTATGTACATCAATCGGTAAATCTCCCAAGGTACTTATGAATAATAAAGATTAAAAATAAATAACTTTAAGGCCGGGCGCGGTGGCTCAAGCCTGTAATCCCAGCACTTTGGGAGGCCGAGGCGGGTGGATCACGAGGTCGAAAGATCGAGACCATCCTGGTCAACATGGTGAAACCCCGTCTCTACTAAAAATACAAAAAAATTATCTGGGCATGGTGGCGCGTGCCTGTAATCCCAGCTACTCAGGAGGCTGAGGCAGGAGAATTGCCTGAGCCCAGGAGGCGGAGGTTGCAGTGAGCCGAGATCGCGCCATTGCACTCCAGCCTGGGTAACAAGAGCGAAACTCCGTCTCAAAAAAATAAATAAATAAATAAATAAATAAATAAATAAATAAATAAATAACTTTATAATTTAAAAAAATCTGTCACAGAGAACCTTAACTAAGCAATTGAAATTAACATGAACTACAGGCCGGGCGCGGTGGCTCAAGCCTGTAATCCCAGTACTTTGGGAGGCTGAGGTGGGTGGATCACAAGGTCGAGAGATCGAGACCATCCTGGTCAACATGGTGAAACCCCGTCTCTACTAAAAATAAAAAAACTTAGCTGGGCATGGTGGCGCGTGCCTGTAATCCCAGCTACTCAGGAGGCTGAGGCAGGAGAATTGCCTGAACGCAGGAGGTAGAGGTTGCAGTGAGCCGAGATCGTGCCATTGCACTCCAGCCTGGGTAACAAGAGCAAAACTCCGTCTCAAAAAAAAAAAAAATTAAGGCCCAAAAATATTTAGTTCCTTGCTTCCATTTATCTGCTTTGGGGTTTGGGGAAATTGTGAGCACCTGTTCTGGAGAGGCAGCAGGTGCCAAACTCTGATCTCCTCTAATCAATTCTGTGTGGAGATTCCAGGGCGGAGCCGGACCTGGACAAGGCCTCAGAAGAGGCTAAACATGGGTAAGGCTGGGGCAGGGAAAGGGCCCTCGGTAGAGTTCTGACCTCTATGTCACTGGAGTATCTCCAATTCTGTGTTTTCTAAGCCTGTCCAGAGAAACTTGACTCCCCAAGTTTGTGTGATTTTAATCTATTTCACCCAATTCCCTGTCTATTGTATAACATACAGTAACAATGAATTTAACCAAAACCCATAGGTTTTGGTTAAATTCTAGCACATGTATATTAGAAGCTAAATATTTAGTCTTAGTAAGGTTAAAGCAACAGAAATAATAACTATAGGGCCGGACGCGGTGGCTCATGCCTGTAATCCCAGCACTCAGGGAGGTCAAGGTGGGAGAATCATCTGAGGTCAGGAGTTCAAGACCAGCCTGTCCAACATGGTGAAACTCTGTTTCTATTAAAAATACAAAAATTGGCCGGGCGCGGTGGCTCAAGCCTGTAATCCCAGCACTTTGGGAGGCCGAGGCGGGTGGATCACGAGGTCAAGAGATCGAGACCATCCTGGTCAACATGGTGAAACCCCGTCTCTACTAAAAATACAAAAAAATTAGCTGGGCATGGTGGCACGTGCCTGTAATCCCAGCTACTCAGGAGGCTGAGGCAGGAGAATTGCCTGAACCCAGGAGGTGGAGGTTGCGGTGAGCCGAGATCGCGCCATTGCACTCCAGCCTGGGTAACAAGAGCGAAACTCCGTCTCAAAAAAAAAAAAAAAAAAATACAAAAATTAGCCAGATGTGGTGGTGCATGCCTGTAGTCGCAGCTACTCAGGGGGCTGAGACAGGAGAATCACTGGAACCTAGGAGGCGGAGGTTGCAGTGAGCCAAGATCGCACCACTGCACTCCAGCTGGGGTAACAGAGAGACTCCTTCTGAAGAAAAAAAAAAAAAAAAAATTGGCTGGGCATGGTGGCTCACACTTGTAATCCCAGCACTTTCG